TCATAGAATTCCAGAATGGTTTGGGATGGAAGGGACCTTAAAGGTCATCTCATTCCAACACCTCTGGATCAGCCCTGGATCAGCCCATCCCAGGATCCTGGCACAGGGAACCTGGATCACTCCATTCCAGGATCCTGGGACAGGGAACATGGATCAGCCCTGGATCAGCTCATCCCAGGATCCTGGCACAGGGAATCTGGACCAGCCCATCCCAGGAACCTGGAACAGGGAACCTGGATTAGCCTTGGATCAGCCCATCCCAGGATCCTGGTACAGGGAACATGGATCACTCCATTCCAGGATCCTGGCACAGGGAACCTGGATCAGCCCATCCCAGGAATCTGGCACAGGGAACCTGGATCAGCCCATCCCAGGATCCTGGCACAGAGAATCTGGATCAGCCCTGGATCAGCCCATCCCAGATCCTGGCACAGGAACCTGGCACCTGGATCACCCCTGGATCAGCCCATCCCAGGATCCTGGCACAGGTGGGCTGGGACACCTTCCACTATGTTTTCCTGGCACTTTTAATCCCCAGATCAGGTTCTCCCGGATATTTCCGGCACTTCCAACCCCACTGGGACGATCCCGAGGCGTTGGAAGCGCTGACTCCAGCAGCCTCTCCCAGCGCTCCGCAGGCACTCACCAGTCCGGTTTCCTGGGAGCCAGGTTTGCCAGATCCTAAGGAGGAAGAGGAGACATCCAGTGAGAAGGGGAAGGCAGGGATAGAGCCTGGACACGGCAGGGAATGCCTCGGGAATTACCTACCACCTCATCGATGATGGGCTCGGGCTTGGCAGCTTCCAGCTGCTCCTTCACCGTGTCCTCCACTAGAGGGAGAAACAGGATCAGCGTCGGGACACCGGGAATCGATCCCAGCAGAGCCCCGGGAATCGATCCCAGCAGAGCCCCGGGAATCGATCCCAGCAGAGCCCCGGGAATCGATCCCACCAGAGCCCCGGGATCGGCTCCCGAAAGCTTTGGGAAAACCCCGTTCCCACATTTCTGCCTTAAGAACACGTGAGGGCAGGTGGGGACGGTGTCCCTCCGCCACCCAAACCCTGCGGAGACTCCCAAAAATCCTCCGGGAATGACGCAACACCACCAACAGCGTCGGCAGCAAAAGAGCCTGCGGGGTCTGAGGCCTCTTCCCGGAATCCCTGCAGGGATCAGCTGCTCCAGGGCTCTGGAATTGGACTCCCCCTGACTCGGGTACAAGGTCTGAGACAGTTTGGAGGAGCCCAGCCCTGCAGAAAGGTCTGCAGATCTCAGGGATAATGGGAAAAGGTGTGGAAAACAGCTCCCTGTCCCTCAGCTGAGCAAGGAAAGGGGGCAGCTCCAGGAGCACATCCTTGAGGGGTCAATCCCACTCCAGAGAGGCCTGGAATCACTGAGGTTGGAAAAGCCCTCTGGGATCATCCAACCATTCCCAGCACTGCCAAGGCCACACTGCCCATGTCCCCAAGTGCCACATCCCCAGGGCTTGGAAATCCCTCCAGGGGTGGGACTCCAGGAGGAATTTTCCCCATATCCCACCTGACCCTCCCCTGGCACAGCCTGAGGCCGTTCCCTCTCCTCCTGTCCCTTGTTCCCTGGGAGCAGAGCCCGACCCCCCCCCCGGCTCCCCGCTCCTTCCTGGGAATTCCAGGGAGCCAGAAGGTCCCCCCTGAGCCTCCTTTTCTCCAGGCTGAGCCCCCCCAGCTCCCTCAGCTGCTCCTGCTGCTCCAGCCCCTTCCCAGCTCCATTCCCAGCTCCCTTCCCTTCCCTGCACACGCTCCAGCCCCTCCGTGCCCTTCTTGTGACATTCAGAGGAGGTTGGAAGCTTTTCCAAAGGGCTGAGGAAAATGCAGTGCCAGCATTCCCACCCCCCCCAGCTCGGAGCTTCCAAAGGCACCTTTTGATTCCGGGCATTTTTAAAGGGATCTATTCCAGGAGGACTCCACGGTCCAAGATCAAGGGAAACTTTTCTACCCTTCACTTCCCCTTCTGGAAGGAGGTGGAGGTTCCGAGCTGGGAAATCCCAGCCTGGACGCCCTGGACTAATATTTGTTTAAGGATAAGTCCAACAAAAACCAGCCGGAATCTCCTTGAGGATCCTCCAGGGAGGCTCCCGAGGGGCTGGAATGGCTGGAATTGCTCCCCCCCCCCAGGTTGTGCAATGCAGGGTGTGAGGATGATGATGATGCAACGGGGGCTCAGACATTCCAACCCCCCCCAGGGCTCCAAGGACCTCCCACCGGGACACAGCCCTCTGGATCTTCCCCCCTGGAGCGACAGGAGCTTCCCAAGCCTTTGCTCCCGTTTGTTCCCACCTGAGGCCGGTTTTCCCGGGGGCAGCTTCCTCTTCTTCAGCTCCTCATCCTCGGGCTCGTAATTCCGCAGTTTGATCTCCCTGGGGAAAAACAGGGAAAAGCACAAAGAGGTGAAATCTCCCCGGGGAAAACAGGGAAGAGCCCGGAGCAATGAGACACGTCCGGGATGTCCCGGATCCTGGGGGCAAGGGGGAAAATTGGCATCAGGAGCCACAAAAGCAGCTAAAATCAAGGAATCATGGAACCATTTAGCTTGGAAAAGCCTCTAATATCATCAAATGCAGCAGTGCTGAGGCCACCACTGCCCTGTGTCCCCAAGTGCCACATCCACAGGGATCTGAAATCCCTCCAGGGATGGGGATCCACCCCTGCCCTGGGCAGCTGAGGGAAATTATGGAATAATAGAATGGATGGGATCTTACGGATCATCCCATTCCACCCCTGCCATGGGCAGGGACACCTTCCACTAGCCCACGTTGCTCCAACCTGGCCTTGGACACTTCCAGGGATCCAGGGGCAGCCACAGCTTCTCTGGGAAATCTGTGCCAGGGCCTCCCCACCCTCACAGCCAGGAATTCCTTCCCAATATCCCAGCTAAACTTATCCTCTTTCAGCTTGAAGCCCTTCCCTGAGTCCTGTCCCTCCATGCCTTGTCCCAAGTCCCTCTCCAGCTCTCCTGGACCCCCATTAGGCCCTGCCAGGG